TGCAGAACTTTATCTTCTCAGAATTTAAAAAACAAAACCCAAAAATAATCTGAAATGTGACAGTTCTATAGCACAGAGTGAAGCAATGCAATTGTGGGGACACCTGAGTCTGCATATGCTCAGGCATACTAAATATTTTTCTCCTTCCTCTTTAACCACAAACACCCCTGGCTTGAGATGTCAAGATGTGTTATCCTATTGCTAAATTATTATGTAGCCAAACAGATCTGAGGACCTGAGAGTTTTCCTCTCTTCTCACTATAGTGTGACTTCCATGGTGGTGTACTGGAAGAAAGGCACTACTGAAAAACAAAGTAACGATCCTTTATTCATTCCACAACCACAACTCCTTTCCTAAAAACCAGAGAGAGAGATGGAGCAATAAAATGCAAATAAAAAACAAGCAATTGCACAATACCACTGGTCACCACCTGTGTGGAATATCCCTTTGGCAGTTCAGGCCAGCTGTCCTGGCCATGCTCCCTTACCGCTTTTTGTGCGGTTCCTCACTGGCAGAGCCTGGCACACTGAAAAGTCCTTGACTTGGGGCAAGCACTGCCTAGCAACAACCAAACATCAGTGTGTTACCAACATCATTCTCATGCTGCTTCAAAAACACAGTATCTACTCAGGAGGCAGAAGTCATCAGAATAAGGATGTAAAAACTATCACATGCCAACCTATGAACATTATGAACGAGTGTTTTCATAAGAAGTGAAGGACTCAAAACAGCACAGAAATCCTCACACTGATATCTATATAGTGTACATACATGCAAAAGTACACATTCACACCACATAAAACTTTTCCAACTTTTCACTGTAGCAACAGTGATAAAAGACTGACTGATTCAGTCCCAAGCATTTTGTGAGACAAGAAATCTCTACTTCCTTTAGCATTTGAGAAAACTGACAGGAATAATCTCACCACTGAAAAGACCAGAAATTTTCACCAAACTACTGCACTATAGAAGAATCTTCTCCCTTACCAAATATATTGATTTAAAAAAATGTCCATTATGGGCCCTGAACTTAACTAAAAGCATGACCCCCATGAACAATGCATGCCAGAGTCTACATTAGTGAACAATTAGAAAGAAATAGTCCCCTAACTCACAAAATTTTAGGGGAGTTCATGACAGTTAAGAGTAACAACAAAGACTGAGGGTCCTTCCTCTTCTTTTTATGGTTGACTTAATAATCCTGGTTTTTGAGCACTGGATCAGAAATAAAATGTCTGGTTGTAAGTATATGATCTTAGTTTCCAACAAACAACGGAAAGCCATGAAGATGATCAGAGATCCAGAACACCTCTCCTATGAGGACAGGCTGAGAGTACAGGGATTGTTCAGCCTGGAGAAGAAAAGGGGAGACCTTAGAGAAGGCTTCTACTATCTAAAGGAGGCCTGCAGGACAGCTGCAGAGAGATGTTTTACAAAGACATGTAATGGTAGGACAAGGGAGAAAAGCTTTAAACTGAAAGAGGGCAGGTTTCAAATAGAAGAAATTCTTTACTTTGACGGTGGTGAGGCACTGGAGCAGGTTGCCCAGGCAAGTTATGGATGACCCATCCCTCAAAGCATTCAAGACCAGACTGGACAGGGCTTTGAGCAATCTGATCTAGCAGAAGGTGCCCCTACCCATGGCAGGGGGATTGGAACTAGATGATCTTTAAGGTCCCTTGCAACCCAAACCATTGTTGGAAGTCCATAACATTTTCCAAAAACTGAGGTTTATATACAATATTACTACAAGTTAGTAATTGTTTTTAGTGGCATCCATCTAGAGAGTGTAGATGAATGTGTAATACCATGTGAAATTAAAATTTACTTCTGAGTTCTTGTACACCTAATTGCAATGAAAAAATAGACCGCAGCAAACCACCACATTACTATACTTACTCTTTAAATCAGTACAATAAGGGAAGTGACCAGCTTGGTAACACCACAATACCCCATCTAGGTTAGTGTGCATTACAGTGTGAAAGAGATGTATAGCTTTTAGTGGGTAAAACAGGAGACAGGGAATCAGAGTTCCCACCCTCTTCTGCAGCTCATTAGGTCATTTATACCCACATTTTCAAAGTTAGTAATTAGTAATTTTGAAACCCAAAGCTTGAGCCTCAAGAAATAAAAATTGACAAAAGATAATGATATTTGTACATCACAGATAAAGCTACACTTCTCATACCAAGTTCACAAACATTTTTTCCATGTGTCAGAACCATTCTGAAAATAGGGAGCAGCAAAATTAGTTTCTACAAAATATTACCCACCCCTAAACAACATAATTTAAGCTTTGCTCAATTTAGATTAGGTAGGGGTTGTTATCTCATCTCACCGACCTGTTGCAACATGTTAGGATAGCAGTAATAATGTTTCTTTAAAAAGGAATCTGTGTATCTCGGTACATTAACATATTGCTGTAAGTGTAGCATAAAGCATCTTCATATTCTCTCAAGAAATATCATGGTCTTTTTTAGCGGAATATATTTTCTTTCAAATAAGAGTAAAACCTGTGATTTTCTTTATCCATTATGAAGAAAAAGATTTATTCATAGTAAATGCTTCTTCAATTTGGTTAAAAGAACAGGAAGTTGCTATGTAAATAAACAGTAAATGTTAAATCTCACAAAGTACTGCCATAGTTTAGCCCTATACACTATTAGGACAAGTAGTTGGTAGTTGTGGAAATCAGAAAATTTAGCGTATCTAAGAAAGATAGAAAGAAATCAGTGCCCGATTTTCACTATTTTGCACTATCCATGTACTGTCATTGCTATCAGCTTGTCTGTACTTAAGAAAAAAATATTAAGACATAAAATGGGTCCTTTCCTTTATTAACTCACCATAGATTGCTATCAATGAAAATACACTGGCCATTGATGTCTTCTAAATCATTTTAAACAGCAATAAAACTTGTAACGAAGGAACTTTATTTCCATAAGCAAAAGCTTATTGTGTATAACTATCAATAATATATTAATCATATTCTGTAATTCACAGATTCTAATCTCAACTCCAAACAAGGATTGCTAAGGTTTTCAATATTTAATTAAGATGCTTCTTCTAAAAGCTTAAGTGAAACCACCTAATTAAAAAAATGCTAATGTGGAGATATAGACTTTCCTTGTCAAAGCGATGTATCTTTTTCCTTCTTCTACGTCTTTCTGGTTTGGTTTTGGCTTTTTGAAGACAGACAATACCTTATCAGTATAACCTTTATTGCTATTAATAAAATATTTGAAATGACACCATGCATACAGAAGTTTAAGTTAGGGGATAATTAAGTGATATCAATTAGAAGTGGTTCAATAGCAAGTCAAAATGAGTATTTTGCTGGACACAATCAGTTTTAAAATAATAGGGTTTATTCTTCATCCCAATACAATCAGTTTTAAGAGTGGGTTCCATTCTTCAATTTTTTTAATGATAAAAGCCATAGACATTTTACTTGGCTTTATTTTTGATACTGAAAAAAGAAGTAGCTAGAGGGAAATTACAGGGACATAACACTGATTTGTTCTGGCATTGCTTATATAAAGCACCAAACATCTTATAAATAGAGCTCTGCTACTACACATAAAACCAGATTAACCTCCCTATTCATAAAAGGCTACTATTTTACACAAATACAGTAAAAGGTTAAGCCTGAAAGAGCTTACGCTATATTCTGAAACAAAATAAAAAGCTCTAGATTGGAGCAGGGGGAAATAAAAGAAGTACATCAGGGAGGATCTGTGCTCCGACTTTAAATATTATGCTACATGGAAACGGAACTTAAAGCAGAGGTTCCAAAATCCATCTGAAAATTAAAGTGTACTAAAAGAGATTCCAGTCCTTTAGAGTTAAAAATTTAAATATACATTCATTCCTATAAACACCTAACAAAACATTACTGTTCTTCTGATTGTCAGTTGTAAAGATTAGCACAGTTTAGTACTACAGAAGCAGTAATTACAGATGTCCACAAAATATATACATTAGCTTCCGCTTTTGGTTGTTGGTTTTGTTTTTTGGGGGTTTTTTTGTAATAGTATGAAAAATTCCACCAATACAGTAATGCAACTGTTGCTCACTTCTATAAACTCTTCTGTTTTAAATACCCTAAGAAACCACTTCAGTATACCTTTGTTGTAGCAAAATATCACCAAATGGAAGCACAGAAATTTACCAGACTTCTTTTATATACAGCAAACCCTAAGCGTTTCGAGGTGAGGCTTGAAAATTAAACACAGAAGCGTCCAAACCAAGTTTCACACCTGTTATTGACACTTCAGAAGCCCACTAGGCAGTGACTGAAATGTCTGCTTTGATGCGCAGCAGCAGCTTCGGGACAGAACTCGATACAAGTCACACACCTACGTGAGGGACCTTTACGATACTCACTCAAGCTCAGCGTGCCCTGCGCGCCCTCTGCACCTCGGCTTCTCCCCCTGCGCCTCCCGCGGTGGGGACGGGACAATTTTCCTCCTCGCGGCGCCGCACACAGCCCGTGCGAGCCACCGCTCCTGCCCGTGGTGATGCGCTTCCCTGCCTGTGGCATACTGCCGGGGGAAGGCAAACCCTGCCCACGGAGCTGTTCGGTACCTCTCAGGACACCCAGAGGCAGAAAAAGCCACCCGCCGGACGGGGGTCGCGGGCTGGGGGCCGGCGGGGAGCGGCGCAGCCTGGAGAGAAGGGCGCCCGCCCTCAGGGCCGCCACCTTCATGGCAGGCAGGGACGGGAGCCCCTTCCCGGCGCCGCAAGCCCTGTCGAGGGGCCGGCGGCCTCCGGCAGGAGCTGCCCGCTGCCTGCGGCCCGGCAGGCGTTGCTAAGCGAAACAAAGCCCGGCGGGCACGCACCGCCCTGGGCGGGGAGCTCCGCGCCGGCGGAAGGCCCGGCAGCAGCCCGGGCAGCCTGCGCACCTGCGGGCACCGGGCGGCGAGCCGGGCAAACAGAGCGTGCGATTTCCCCTCCAGTTAGAATCCCGTCTAATATTACGGGGCAAAAACGAACCCACCTGCCAGGGCAGCAGGGCCCTCTTCACGCATCTGTGCGGAGGAAAGGCTTAACCAGAAGTGGGGAGTGAGAGCGACCGAAGCCAGCCCATCTTTATCACCATGCCAGGCAGACACAGAAGGGAGCTGTCTGGAAGCAACAGCTTTTAAAGGCGCTCCCGGCCATCCTGGGCAGTTTGGAGAGCAGTGGAAGGTGACAGTGGCACAAGCCCGCCGCACACAGCCCGTGCGAGCCACCGCTCCTGCCCGTGAAGATGCGCTTCCCTGCCTGTGGCATACTGCCGGGGGAAGGCAAACCCTGCCCACGGAGCTGTTCGGTACCTCTCAGGACACCCAGAGGCAGAAAAAGCCAAGTGGACGAAGCCACGGGAGTGAGGGGCGCACACCTCCCCCGTACCCCCGGGTGTGCGGGGCGCTCACTCACGCGGGAAGCCCTGGGCTGCCGGCCGCCTCGTCGCCCTCGGCCGCCGCCTCCTCCCCGATGTCGGGCAGGGTGATGAGCAGCCCCTTGGCCGCCGCCCGCCCCCCGGGCTCCTTGTCCGTCTCGCTGGGCGCCGGGCGCGGGGTATAATTAACTTTGCCCTAGCTTTCCAACACTGGCTTATCTTCCTGGCTGAAGAGAAATATGAACACACTATTTCAACAGTGTCAGGGCCAAAGTGGCACACCAGCAGCAGTTTGGGAACACTGTAATGCTTAGTACTATGGACAAGGCAAACATTGTGCCAGCTCAGAACACGACAGGTCGTGTGGCCCTTGGAGTGCCCAAAAAAAACAACACAGGCTGAAAGTTAGACCAGTTGCTTTATACATATGAGCCCCAGGATCACACATCAAGCAACTAGTTGTACTGTTGATTTTAAGTTGTCAGCTGCTGGTCCACAAGAACCAACGGTAGAAAGTGAGGAATTTTATCCCTGCCTTGTCTTCTTAGCACATCAAGGAGTACAATGAGCTGGCAGAGAGAGCACACAGAAAACCGAGGACTGAGATTTGAAACTGGGGCATTCCTGGCCTTTTTCTTACAAACCAGTATAAATATGTTCTGACAAAACCTTACGGAATAGGTGCACTTAAATCTAACAGCAACACAATCTGAATTTATTCCTACTATGGTAAAAAGCCTGACGGAGCCACAGTGAAAGTAGCATAATTGAGCTCACTGGTGGGTAGTATATTTATCTCAGCTATTTATATGAACATCATTATCAGTAAGGTGTTCTTGACTCCTTGTGTCCAGGTTCTGGCCAGGACTGGGTTAATGTTTGCAGTAGCAAGGAGGGCATGGCTAGGACCTTAAGGTAATTCTGTGTCACATCACATCAAGCACAAGGGGCAGGGATGCTTTGTGTTAAGAACTCACATGTGAATCGATCAACTCTCTTGTACACTCTGTTATTAATATTGTTCGTGGTACTGTTTGGTTTTTGTTTCATTGCTTTTTCAAGTAAATTGTTTGTATCTCAACCCATGATCTTTCCATTTGTGCCTCCAGTTCTGCTCTCCAGCCTGCCAGGGGGAGGGAGGAGTGAGTGAGCAGCACATGGTTTAGAACACTAAACTGGGGAATAGTATTCCTAAACCATGACCCTGTCATTCAAGATCTGTAGAAACAGTCAGGTTCCTCTCCAAATCTCCAGACTTGAACATTCTGCCTCACTCAAGTCCTTTACATATTCTGCTTTCAATACAAATGGCTCCTCTTTAATCCCATGTAACATCTTTGATATTACAAGTTTGGAACTACTTGTCATTTATTTGGTGTTCAATTTATCAGCAAATCAGCATAATATAATCTGATGCTGCCCACTGCAATGAGACTGCCCAGCTCAGGCATAGACTGTGAATCCTGAAAGCACTTACAACTCTTAGCCATGGTAAACCCATTTATTTACTCTCAATAAAATTGTGAAACAAATCTACAGGAGCAGACCAGAAGTAAGTAACTTTCAGAAAAACAGGGAAAATTCATAGGAAAATTTTAGGTCTGGTGTAACAGATGATTACCACTGGCCCTGTGATTATTACTTTTGTGCCTTTTTTTTTACATTATTAACCTTTTTTTATTTCATACATTGTGAACCTTTATAATGCCTATTACTGTGGTAAATTATTTTAAACTGAATCTATGTACTAAAATAACTGTTTAGAATGTATTTTTATTTAAATAATTTAAAGGGATTTTTCATTCATCACCAAGAACTTCTTGTTTGTATTCCTAGCTGTATTACAAAACTAAGCATTTATACGATTTTTTTTCACTGTTCTGAAACCAATTTTGGGGGATTTTGTACTAACTAGAAAAATCTTTAAGAATTTAGACATGCTGTAATTTGTCAGGCTCTAAGGGTCAGAAAAGACCATTAGATAATCTAGTCTGATCTCTTGTATCACATTTCACTGCAGCATTTCTCCATGTGTTCTTTTCATCTTTATGTCATTTTTAATATCCATGTGAACGACTAGCATTTTCTAAACAACTTATATTGATGTGGAAAAAGAAATTCTGCTGCTTTGTGTCATTGCAGATTTAGGATAGGAACCCTGTCACATGTTAGTCTTTAAATAAGGGAGAGAACAGTTGATATGGTGCGTACCTGGTAGACCATAATTACCAGCTTGCCTCCTCAACTTTCATGGCCTAAGCATGAAGAGAGAATTTGTCACTTCACCTGAAAAGGTGAGAAAGATGAGATGAAAGCATCACAATGGGGATAATCCTATTGCTGTAATTAGGGAATCATCATCTATCACTTCAGCTGTAAACAAAGCCTGTTTTGTTTTCACTCAGGACTTCGAGAGCAAGTGAAGATATCTGTAACCCCCTTCACTATTGCAGTGCATGAAAAATCCTATTTCACTAATTATTTGTCTTGTTTAGGATTTATCATCATGGAACTTAGGAAACCTATTTTAAAACCCTTTTTTTTTTTCATCTACACATACAGCAAATAATGAGAAAAGCTGTTTAAAATGTGAAGTATAGAACTGTTTTCTAATGCAGTATAACAGCATTCTTGTAGCAATGGTGGTATTGATGTTGATGAGGGAAATGCTAGGGGGAAAAAGCAATTTAAAAATATTCCTGAGCTATTGAAGGGTCACAGACCTACTAAAAGCTGACAAAGGTTTAAAAGGTCCTTTTGATTGCAGCAGCAATCAAATATTAACAAAAATATACTGCCTTGTGTCTAATTTACAATAACTTGTGCTCAGATTCACCATAAAATTTTAGCCAGTGTTAAACATTATAAACACTTTTGCAAAGCACATTTTGCTCAGCCTTAACTCTCTCTCCAGATCAAGATGTTAGCCCGTATGTTTGAACCTTAATGCCCTGGCAATTGCCATCTTGCCCACATTTCTGTAAAATATATTCAAGGAAAAAAATCAAACTAGCTTAGTATGCAAGAAATAAACTACAGAATTCTATTTTTTTACAGTTTTCTTTTTAGCTATCAAAGGCAAAACTGTGTATAAAGAGGAACAAAAAAATTGAAATTAATCTAGTGTTGACTTTTTGTTCCCACTCCACCTCTTAACTGGGGTCACAATAATGTTTCTGATACTATTTAAAATTATTTCTTTAGTTTTGTTGTTGTTGCTTTTGCAGTAACAAGATTTTTGGTAATAAAATTGCAGCAGTACCACTTCCTCCACAAAGTTGTCTTCTGGTTATATTATAAAAATATCTGTGCCTTTATTTATTCTATAGAGGTGCGGCAGCTGTGCCTTGGCCATACTTCACATTGATTTCAAGTTCTGTGTAGAGGCCTGCATACAGTTTTGTGTGCATTCTAAGAATCAAGGTGACATCTCTCAAGTGTTAGTGTCCTGCCAGCTCTCTCAATTTCACCACAGAAGAGCAAACATTCTTTTTCCTGATACCAAATTTATTGTATCAGTTGACTCATCAGCCTGAAAGTCACTTTTTGATAGCAACCAGTATTAGCCCCCCCAGAAGGCATAATCACAAAGGTTTTAGAACTCACTTTGAAACTTACTTTTGAACTGCAAATTCTTGTTTTGAATTACAGAAGAAATTTTCTGTGTTACTTAATGTGTTTCACAAGGAAAGCTTTCCAGCTAGAGACACTAAGTCCCCCATGTTTCAAAAGCAAGAACTAGTGTCCACTCTACCTTCTACAAAGATTTTGCTGTTTTATCATGAATGCATTTTCTTTTGTATATCCCCTTAGAGAGTCTGTCTCTTCTACCCTACATCATTTCATAGAACATCAGTGATTCTCACCACTTTTCAGAATTTCAACCACATTTCTAATACACTGATTGAAATTACTATCCACTATGATCCCTTTTAACATCACTTCAGTGCAGCTGAATTAAAATATCAGCAAAAATATTAATATAAACAAATAAATTTAAATTATAGTGCCCCTTACATATATTTACAGGATGACAAACTTTTTCAGACCTTCATGAAGGCTTGCTAGTTTTCCAGTGGTAGAAAATAGACAATAAAATTACCCTATAATTCAAATCTGTAGTTCAAAAATCAGTGCACTTTACTTTTACATTTAAGTGCCATCACTAATTGCTGATGAAATGCACTGACTCGGTCTTTCTGGGCTGGCCAGTTCAAGATGCAGCGAGATCTGAACATTCCTCTTCTCAGGTGAAGTGCATGATACAACTTGTAATCTTGGATATCATCAAGAAAGATCAGTATGATGGAGTCCCGACTTTGTTCAATAGCTTGCTGAAGAGCATGATACACCTTGAAACTGAAGCAAAAATAAGACAAAAATCAGTGTTTTCTTTTATGTGAAAGAGAAAGAAAAGATTAACAGGGGTCTTAATGTCTATTTTGTGATATACAATGGTTACTACTTTTCTTACATTAGTTGCCTCTAACTAAAAAAAATAAAATAATACTCTAAAAATACAATCTAAGTGTACTGCCTTGATATAGCCTTGTTTAGCAAAATCCCTTTCTTTATGAGACCACTATATAAGAATAGTGAAAAGACTACTTCAAAGGCAAACAAAAATCATCTTTCAGTGCTAGTAGTCTCAACTCATTGTTGCCCTTCTTCAAATGTGTGGTTTTAAGGAAAGCAATCTGCAAAGGTGTCAGCCTCACTTTTGGGAAAAAAACTCCAACCAAACAAAACAAAACAAGAGACGCCCCCCCAA